GGAAAGACTAACAAAGATGGTTTTGGTGAGCTTTATTCTGTTTCTGTCCAATTTAAAGTGTGTTTTATGATTATCTTCATTAAAAATTAAAATTACTTGTTTTGTCAATGGAGTCTGGTCAGCTGTAGCACTCATTGTTTTGGTCTGAGATGCTGGTGATCTGGTGCATTAGATTATAATTGTATTATACTGTTATATTAATTTATAACAAAAAGACACAGGGCTTCTACAAATAATTATATATAAATAAAACGTATTTTGCAGATGCAAAGATGTTAGAAACGATGCCAAGTTCATCCCAGATTGTATCTGATGCACACAGTTTTAAACGTGGTAGGATCTGTGAATCTTACCATCCAGGACCAGGAAGGTGCAGGAGAATCAGACGGAGTGAGTCATGCTGATTTGGGCGTCCCCCCAAGAAGTAGAAGAACTCAACTGAAGTTGTTCCTACAAGGCCTGGCAAGTAAACTACTGGGTGCAGTAATTAGTGGGTTTCCGGTGGCACTCAATATAAAATTAACACCCTGCCAGCAGCCTGCCAACCTCCCCGCTGTGGAGACTCCAAAAGGGCCAAACTTTAGCAAAAGCAACACAAAAAAAACAGAACCACAGTCCACGTTTTACAGCATTCAGTCACATCTTTCTCATATTGATGTGACTTTGCCCTCGACTTTACAGCTCGCTCTGATTATTCCACCGAGCTGCATTAGCAGATTGGTTCTGCGCTCTGGAGCGATGACAAGTGACAGTTCACTGTCAGGAGGAGAGGACACCACTGCTCCTGTTCTCACCCCTGCTGTCAGGGTTCGAGGTGGATGATTTGTCACCACCAGTGTCTGTTTATAGGCTTCATTACTGCAGGTTCAAGCTGCGGCTGCGAGGGGAAGCAGAACCAGGAACTCAGACGAGTACCTGTAGGTGAAAGACAGAATAACAGATCAGCCCTGTTCAGAGCTTGAATCACCTTTCTATAGTGAGAGATTTACCTCTTGTTGGAGCTATTGAACATCTTTTACCATCGGATACATTCACACTTGATCTCCTATTATATTCCCCAGTATATTCAGCCATTGCTAACCTCAGTGTGGCTCCAGGAATGGTTATGTCTGTGTGTCTGTCACTTTGATCTAGACTGTAACATCTCAACAACTGTTTGATGGATTAAGATGGACATTGATGGTTCCCAGAGGATGAATTCTAAGGACTTTGCTGTGGTCTTTGCTGTCAAATTTAAAAGATTACAATGTTGTATGGAAGAAGACTTGAAACTAGCGACTGAGACTTAGTTTGGGACGATATACAATGTTATTGTGTAGTGCTATAAAAAAACACTTTCATCCTCACATGGCTTCACTTGAAAAACCTGTCTAGCTCACCAGCACACATCATCTCTAATCCTAATCCCGTCACCATGACTGAAGCCTGGGTTTACCTGTAAAAAATAAATAAATAAATAAAACAGCATGTGTGGAAATAGTATAGGATCCAAAATAAAGAACAGAGAGATGAGGTTTTTCTTTAAAAAAAAGTAAGGTGAAGTTATTCCAGTATGTTTTAATAACATTTTAAAGGTTTAAGTATATTATCGTGATTATTGTGATAATATCATGTACCACAATTATTCTGGCCTGAGATAATCATGAAATTAGGTTTTCATTTACCTAATTAAGACCATAAACTCATCAGGAATAAATCAAGCTAATAAATCAAGTGAGAAGTCGGCTCATTTCTCCATAAGACTCAATACTAACTGACTACGTTTTTTTGCAGCCTGTGGAGTCGCCCCCTGCAGGCCATTAGAAGAAAATGCACTTTTAAGACACTTCTACTTTGGTTTCACTTCACACACCCGTAAAGATCTGTGCAACAAATCATAAACCGTCAGTGGTTTTCACCCTGATTAGATCTTTGGAGCGCTGTGTACTGTGTTGGGTGTAAGATGGCCACTGCTGAAGGTTCCTGAAGTGGAGAGGAGCTTTAAGATGAGATACCTGATGGATGGCGCTGCAGCTCGCCTGGCCCTCCTGCAGATTTATGGCTGCATGGCTTCATGTCCTGTATAGTAATCCATTTGTGGGACACTGCATCATTTTCCTGACAGCTGAATTTGGGTTCTGTGTGACTGCTCACCTTCGTTTAAAAGCACAAAGACTCGCAACATCACACCCTGTGCAGAGGACAGTGACAGTTTTCCTAATAAGAGTGTTATGTAATGTTACGTAACGGGTGCTGTGTCCCTACATGTGATCCAGAAAGGTGAATTCTGGTCCTCCCAGATCTTTCAGTAATGTTTTTTTTAGGTCCATTCGTGACAATGAATAACCTTGAAAGCCCTAGAAACCTACTTATGGTCAGTGACACATTTAATTTTTGACAGATTCTCACTTTATTCTATATTTTTCTTGTTAACAAAATCCACTGAAGACCAGAACTGATCCCGCCATAGACCAAAAGAATAGACTACTAAATTGCTATCTTCTTGTAGTCTTCTCCTGCATTGTGGCCATCAGAAGTTTTAATTTTCAGACTCTTACACAGCTGCTTAGAGCAGAGGTTCTCAGCCTTTTCCCTTCAGGGAGCCTTTTTCTATCATTTAGTAAAC